TGGTTAGCTGTCCCCTTTGTGTCCATCAAACAGGTCCTTCATCGGCGATTTCCCTCAAATACAGAAATAATGGCTTCCGCGGGTTAGCTCCTTAGACGCCGGCAGCTCCTTAATCACGGTGAGGGGTTAAGGCAAACCGCTCCTGCAGTGGATGCTGCTAAGGATTTGCTTTCAACCTCAGAGGGTTTTGGAGGAATAAATGATAAACTGTGGACACATAAGGAACGCTCCAGTTTGCTAGGTGACCAAATCATAATTGACTTGGAAAGATGCCTATCCTTTCTTCCCGCAGAGCTGATGAGGGGCAGCTGAGGTTAGAAGAGCCCTCTAGTTTACCCCTTCCCGCCTTTCTGTCAACCCATCTCCTCTTCTCATAAAGTAAAGCAAGGCAACTAGCATTGCCAGTGCCCTTTTTGCTGCGGTTTTGGCTGTCAGATGTTTGCAATTTTGTGGCAGCATCAGGGGCGCTAGGTGAACGGTTGGGAGGGCACAGGAGAATTGCAGCAGATGGTTGAAATTCCGGAAAACTGCCCCGGCTAAGTCAGCCTCAACTAGAAATTGCTCTATTTCTGGGTGAATAGAAACCTGTAAGTTTCTCACCTATAGGTCCTTTGAAAGAAAAAAAAAAGTGGAGAATTGAAGGAGGGACCCAAAGTCTGGTTACAGACTGAGTCCTAACTATCCAACAGGGAGGCTGTGTGTGTGTGTGTGTGTGTGTGTGTGTGTGTGTGTGTGTGTGTGTGTGTGACATATGGCAATCTGAAACAGTTAAACATATGAAGAATGTTTTTCATTCACAGATGGCAAAAAAGGGCATTTTTTTCCCATATAACATATTCCCAGCTTTTGGAGCCAGCAGTATCAAGGGAGGGTAACAAATTCAGTCTGTGCCCTCGAAGACTCCAGTTTACGTTTGAAGGTTTGCTTCAGCTAAAAGATGAGTAAAACCGTAGTTATTTCAGACGGCTCCCTGTTGGCTACTGGGGTCTGGGCCACTGGATATGTCAACAGGCTATATGAAAAAGTCCAGTTTGTAACATTTGTTTCAGATGGGCCCGCCTGTCTAAGACAGCGGAAAGACACAATTTATTTTGGACTAAATGCTTCCCTTGACACATAGCTAGTATCTGTTGCCACAGTTTTTTCATGAGGGCTTTTGGGGCCAGAGTGAGAATGGAAACAGGTTTCTGATGGAAAAATACGATGTCCCTTTCTGCAGTGACTAGAGCCTTGCCCAATAGGTTCTCCCACTACTACGTGAACAGACCAGGAGAGAGTACCCAGGCAAAGCATCACTGCTCAGCATGACTGGCAAAGACAATTACTTCATTGGGGGCTTCTGATAGCAGAAAGGGAGAGTTAATTAAATCTCATTGTAAAATTAAGTAGCATAACTACACATTTTAGAACCAATGCAATTATGCCTTATCATGAAGCACTGTAAATCTTTGCTGCTGTGATGCATTATTAGAAATTGACATAGGAATCCAGAACTCAAGGGATGTGAGGGATGGCAGAGAGGCATATTCATTCTGTGAGATGAAAACGAAATGTGGCAGACCAAGTCCTACAACGAGCTTCCCAATCCGTTGACTTACTTTGAATAAAACTGAAGTCTACAACAGGTAAAAATAGCAAATGGTTAAAGCGTCTGGTAAGTCACCATGTTGGATGTAAGCACACATGTGCCAGCAACTCCGACGGCCAGGTTTGTTTTTAGAGCCAAAGCCACGGGCAGTTCTCAGGTGGTGTGGCAGAAAAGGTCATGGTGTGGTAAAGGGAACACCAGCATGTGGCAAAAGGTCTGAAGTCAAACAATACAGGTGCCCCTGAAGAGGTCCCGGAAGAGACCTTTTAGAAAAGTTCAGAACAGAACTTTTAGAAAGCTCTTATGCGAAGACTCGGGAGAATTCTGACCTCCCAAGTTCTATGGGCTTTCACACCACGCCAAGAATCCCACTCTCCCTTGTTTCTCTGAATTTTGAACTTCTTTCCTTAAATTATGCTTCTGTGCTGTTTGGAACCCCCATCTTGGACTGTAGCCTAGAAATTCTTCCTCGGCAGCAGCTGGGGCAACTGTAGGCTGCTCTTGTTCATTTCTCTGCTGTCGCACTCAGGGCTCTATCAGGGCCCTCTTGACGAAGAGCATGTTGAACGGAACCAATAGGATGTGTACCTATCAGAAAGAAGCTTGAGAAACCTGGCCGCACAATTATGAAAGGCCTTGAGTGTCTGCAACGGACAAGCTGGGGTCTCAGGAGCATCTAGAGATGTTCAAATCTAATGGTGGGTGAGCAGTCTCCAGGCCTGCTAAAGTAGATTGCCAGTTAATGTCCAAAGGCAAGACAAACCCATAATGTCCTAGCTTGAAGACCGTATGCCCAAAGTCAGTCAGTTGGGGTAGTGAGATTCACAGATTCGGCTTCCTGCCTTTCTTATTCTATTCACATCTTCAAGTGATTGGATAAGGGCCACTGGCATGAAGGAAGGCAACCGGCTGTACTCAGCCCATCAGTTTAAAAGAGGATCCCATTCAGAAACACCCTGACAGACACACACACTAATGCTTGCCCAGATATCTGGACTGGTGGCCCAGTCAAGTTGACACACATAATTAACAAACTGGCCCATGCTATCTGCTGTCCAATGGCTGTAGATTTCCATGTCAAATATTTTGTGTTTGGTCCTTCTGAAAGCTGTCTCCATTATTTAGGGTGACAGATCATCAGTTTGTGTTCATTCTGCTCTCTTGTGGCTGATAGTGGAGACCTGGTAGTAGTTGCATTAATTTGAAGGTCATTGCCGAGTTACCTATTGCGAGGGGTCGTCCTGAGCAGCAGCAAGCGAGAGGCCTAATCTTGCAGCCACCCCGCTGGGATTTGGTGGCCACCACTTGGACTCTTGTAGGGAGAAGTCCTTTCTGTGTGGCTGTCATTGCTTTATCTCACTGAGAACCTGGCATGTGCTTGGCTTCGTGCTTCTTTCTCTACGAAGCATTTGCTCGTGTCATTTGTCTGTTTTTATACTTTGTTAGCCTTTTTCTCTTTTCTAGAAGCTCTTTAAATAGAGCAACTAGCGCTGTATGGGAGCTGCAATCCTTTCTCTTTTCGGGAAATCCCCCCCCCCACGCTGCTTTCACATGGAGAGGGCGCACATTTTTTAATATGGTCAGATATATCCATCTTTTCCTTATGGATTCAGAATCCTTAGGAACAGATTTTTCCTTAGGCTTATTGCTCCATTTAAGACACTGACCTTGTAATACAGTGACAAGCACAGCTCCAATTCAATTCTCTATCACATGATACTCAGTTGTCTCAACACCCTGTCCAAAATTCCTGTTTCTTGTCATATACTACATACCATGTGTATCCGATTCGTTTCCTGTATTTCCATGTTCTTCCAATGGCCTATTTGTATGGCGCCCCTACAGAGTCTGAATCTTGAGAGTTTTTAGTAATACCTGCTAAAGATCGCCTCTAACCCCCTGGTCCTTTCCATTGTCCTTCAGAAATTTCCAGGTTATTTCACCTGTTTTTCTATTTAAACTTTGAAATCAGCTTGTTTAGGGCTAGACTATGCTTGCTGGAACTTTCATCTGGATCATGTGGAATTCATAATGAAGAGAGACCTGCCACATCTATTCTGATCTTGGCGAAGAACACGTTGGGATGTCCCAGTTGCCAAAGGTCCAGGCAGGGTGGGTCAAATGATTTCTGACCACAGTCCTGTAGAATAGGCATTGAGTTCTCTCAGACAGGTTTGGGCTATTTTCTTTGAATGTTGCATATCCCAGAAAGACAGCTGGAAACAGCTCAATGTTTTCTTTGGAGTTTTGTTAATGGCATGGTTAACAATGTAAAGTTTATATATACATATGTATATATGAATTATATATATATATATATTCTCAACTCAGTATTCTGAATGACACTTCCATGTAGCTCAGCAAAGCCATTTCACTACTTTAGATATGATTGACTGTATGCAAAAAAAAAATCTGAACTGACCAATTTTGGTTCTTTCTTTCCATTTTCTGTCACCCCTCAGCATGACACCTCCTTACTGTCCCTGAAGCCTACTTCAGCTAACAAGACTAACTTAATGACCTACGGGGTCCTTTCATCACAACCTGGTCCTGGGAAGCAGTCGTTCACACTTTTAATCCTTCTGCCAGGGAGGGGCAGGCGTGCTGATTTTAAAAGAATTGCGAGCACCTGGGAGCAATTAGAACAGGCAGGGAGCGAAGCCTGCCAGGTGCCTGAAACATTACCAGGCAGAGCTGCAGACTCCAGGCCCCTAATTCCAGGTCTGAGAGGGCCATGCAGGCCTCAGGCGATACTTTCGTCTCTTCCTTCCCTCACTCAGAGGAGAGTCCCAAGACAGGACGAGGGATTTCATTGTGACCACAAATGAATGGGATGCTATCCAGAGCGCATCCTTTCCCCTTATCTGCTGAGGCTTGGCAGCGAGCGCCTGGGATCCGAGTCGCTGCACAGGCCGGGAACCGTGTGCTTAGGAGAAAACTATGAAGTACACTGCCCGCAACTCCTCTCATAGCACGTGCAAAGCAATCAGCCTTAACTTCTGAGCCACAACAGGGCGGCTGCTTCTCCCTTTGCATTTCCTGATTTGCCCTTAGACAGAATTCCGTGTGCTTGTTTAGAATTCAGCCCGTTTGACCTCCTTCCTGGGATACAGACGGTTCATATCTGCCTTTCTCAATATTAGTGGACAACACCCACACCATATTGTACCATATTGTGCCCTATAAAGTTCACATCATTCTGATTTAGTGATATAATCTCTTTGGCCCTGCTTTTCAACATTTTAAAGAGCAGGGGGAGCACCATTTAGAGCTGGGTTCTTTCTGGCTCCATTTGAAGAGTCTGAGTCCCCAGCTCTTCAGAGCCCACCTTCTGGGAGGCCCCCCAGCCCTGCTCCAAACCTGCCGAGAATCCCTTGATGTGCCCCAGGCTCCGTTCTCATGGCTCCCACCTTGGAATGGAAACTCTGTGCCAGTCTACAAATGCTGCCTTGAACACTTGAAAAACCCAGCGCTCGCCTCAGGTGTAACATGAGTCTTTGGAGCCAACGTGAAAGGAATTTGTTAGTGAAGCTCCTGAATGCGAGGCGCTGAGAGTCCATCACACTCCATTACTGGGCGCCGCTGCCGAGTGACTGCTTCAAGCACACCGCAGTGCGTGATGTGGAAGGGCCCTGGTTTCCTCAGTCATTGCTCCTTTTCCTCTCGGCTTCCGAACTTCAAGGGACCTCTCAATGAGACTTGGGATGGCAAGCGAGGCTGTGATTGTGACAGCGGGAGAGCAGGCTAGCCAGATTCATCTCTACGCTTCACGTTTTTTTCACAGAGTTTACCTTTCGTTACGCTTGGCTCCATGAACACCGCTAATCAGGTATGAAATAGTTCTAGAAGTCAATTCTTACATGGCACCGGTGGGTTTCCTACTAAAGCCCGAGTCTGAGCCTCGCTTTTCTCTGGGGTACCATTTGCAGTGCAGGGACTTAATGGGGACACAGCACGGATGAGCATGGGAAGAGGTAGGAGGGCGGGTTGTTGACAGCTGTCTGCCAGCCCTTCCGTCTCTGCCTTGGTCCTTGGTTCCCCTTCAGTGGGTCCCCCCCAAAGTCAACTTCTCTGCAAGCATCCTGAAGTCATGCTCAATGACAACGGCTCCCCCTTTCATAGCATGGCCGTCTCCACAAGGCACCGAGCTAGGGTCCTTCCAGTCTGCCTAGGGTTATGGTGCAGGCACACTTCACTCTGGGAAAGCAGCGCTCCAGGCTCAGACTTTGCAGAGAATTTTCAATCAGCCTGCTTCCTGCGGGCCTTGCTGGGAGTCAGAGCCTCACAGCCACGCCTGCATCTCATCCGTGCTCACAAGGGCTTCCTTTCAGGGTCTGCAGCCCAGGCAGCGTGTTCTAGGCCGAGGAGTTAAGGAGAGAGGACAATACATGTTTGACCTCACTCAAATCCATGACTCCTACACCTTCAAGAGATTGAAGTAGCCTTGGGGCTTTTGCTGTTGATGGTTTCAGGTGTACATGCTTGTTGGTGACAGAGTAATGATTAGATACGAATCTACAAGGTTTATGGAGGAAGTTACAGTGGCTAACACTTCAATCTGCTGAAATGTTTTGCTTTATTGATGTGTAATAAACATATTGGCTCATAAGGTATGCTTTATATTTCAAGACGCGTATATGAAGTATAGTGATCAAATGAGAACAATTGGTACTTTCATCTCCTCGACGTTGTTCATTTGGACTCTTCAAGCTTCTCTCTTCTGGTTATTTATATAACATGCAGACATATAACTGACTGAGCTGTGAACCTACCCTGGCTGCGCTATACAAAACTAGAATGTGTTCCTTCTATGGACTACGTTTGGGTACCCATCATCCAATCTCCCTCTAGTCTCCATTCCTCCCACTATTCTGCATGCAGATCAGTTTTTTCACTCTTACACATGAGAGAGAACATGCGGCGTTTGTCTTTCTGCGCCTAACTTAGTTCACTGTTGTGGTATACTGTTCTAGCTATATAAAGACGCACTGTGTTTGTTTATGCTGTGGTGTATTACTTTAACTATATAAAAAGATGCATTACATTTGTTTGTTTCAGAACATTACTTTAACTGTGTAAAGGTGTGCTGCTTTTATTTATGCTGCATTTGTTTAACAGTGTAAAGATGTGTGTTTAATTGTGTAGAGACGTGTTTCATCTGTTTCACCTTGCCTGCCTACTGTACCTGATTGGTCTAATAAAGAGCTGCACAGCCAATAGCTAGGCAGGAGAAAGGATAGGCGGGCTGAGAGAGTAAATGGGAGGAGAAACCCAGGCTTTGGAAGAATAGAAGAATGAGAGGAGGAGAGCAAGGGATAAGCCTGGGGCAAGAGCTTAGGCAGCTGCCACCCAGACAGAAGCAGAAGTAGTGACAGAAAGGCACACGGAAGGAAAGAAAGTAAGAAGCCCTGAGGTAAAAGTCGGATAAAGAGAAACAGAGTAACTTAAGTTAAAAAGGCGATCCAGAAATGAGCCTAAGCTAGGCTGAGAATCTATAGCGACTAAGTCTTGGTGTGGTGATTTGGGAGCTGGGTCCCAAAGGAAAAATCCGGGTACAGCTCCCTTCCCATGACATCCTCTAGTCCCGCCCGGCTTCCCGCAGATTGCAGAGTTTCCATCTTTGTGTTTCTCATGCTGCAGTAATATGTGCACATACCTATGCTTTCTCTGTCCCTTTATCTACTAGTGTAAGCTCAGGCTTTGGGGGGACAAAAGCCAGGATCACAGTCTCTCTTTTCACCCTGCTCCAAGGGGAGACAAAAGCCAGGATCACAGTTTCTCTTTTCACCCTGCTCCAAAGTGTTCTCTCTCTCTGGTATGCATCTTAAAGTGAGTACATATAGAATGAATTGGCTAATATTCTGAGAGTAACTGTTGTTTCACCATTTTAAAAAAGATAGCTTCCTAGCCTCTGCCTGCTTGCTAAAGGGCGAGACACTGAAGATCTGAGTGAGGAGCCCGGGAGAACTCTGAATCTGAACACTAATTTCAGGGTTGTAGACACGTTAGTGTCTGTGCTTTCTCCGTCCTCACACCCTAGTTGAAGCCGAGGACGGCAGACTGCCTGCAAGGCCGTCTCTCCACGACCAACTTCAGGGTTCTCCTTACCACGGTCTGTTTTGTCTCCAATACTCTTGGTCTTCTTGGCATACTCAGGGAGCAGAATGTATATATTAACAAAACCATTTTTAAAAGACTGAGCGTGGTTCTCAGTACGATTTTGCTACCATTCTTTTTTCTAACACATCTTTTGAAAATAGTTTCTCTTTAATTTTTCCCATTTAGAATCCAATTATTTTGTTTGATACGAGAATTAATTTTAAAACACATACTTTTATATTCTTATTTTTCTCAGGCATATGGTCATTCATTTATACCTTTCCTTTTATTTGTTTTTTTTTTTTGTTTTGTTTTGGTTTTGGTTTTTCAAGACAGGGTTTCTCTGTATTGTTTTGGAGGCTATTGGTCCAGCCCAGCCTCGAACTCACAGAGATCCGGCTGCCTCTGCCTCCCGAGTGCAGGGATTAAAGGCGTGCGCCACCACCGCCCGGCTATACCTTTCCTTTTAATTACAAGTCTCTTTCATATATTTTGGGGGTCAAAAATTCTTGTTATAATGAAAATATATATTTTAATTGTACACATTAGAAATACAAAACTGCTTAAAATACTTAAAAAGACCTGTGCTAAGTAATATAAAAATGTTATTTTGAAATTTATAAAGGCAATCCCCCTAAATATCAGCATTCAATGATCTAAAAGCCACACATACAAACTTCTAGACTTGTGCATACACTCCCAAGTGACAGCTTATTTATGGAGCCGAGAAGACAATGGTGACTAGAGAGAACAAAACAAAGTTAACGCTCTGAACTTCCACAGACAGTACTGCTAAGTGGTTAGTACTTCTCAGCCAGCCACACAGAGCACAGACGTTGCTAACTCCATCTGCACAAAGAAAAACAAAGGCCCAGAAGGAGGAGGCAGCTTACCCAAGGCTGTCTTTATATTTAGCAACACAGCTTGACCTAGAATCCAAATGCGAAATTCTCTACAGCCCCGTGTTTTCACACTGAGTCCTAATGGTGGTCAATTCCAGGCCTGCAGCTTGGCAGTACTGGCATTTACACTTACTTACCTTGTGTTGCTTTCTTTTCATGTGCTTATAAAAATCCATGCCAAGGGCTTATCTCGAAGACACAAAATGGAAGAATGCAGCCAGCTATGCGCTCTGAAGCATATTCTCTCCATTTCACACATTGAAACCAGACTGGCTATAAGCGATCCTGTTGGAGAGACTCTGATTGGATCATGCCATCTTTCAAGACATGATCCAGGTCTTCAAGCAAGAGCTAAACTATTTTTGCAATCCATTGAGTGGTGACAGGAGTTCACTTCACACTGCCACAAATGTCCCAAGAGACCTCACAAAAGCGTGCAGCTTGGTGACATGTGGGAAAGCGCAACATTCTACCCACAAAGCAAAAGTTGTAGGCCACACTAATAAACCCTGTGTGTACGCCAGTGGGATGGAGCTAGGCAGGAGGGCAAGGGTGAGTCTTCACACAGAGGATGGATGTGTGAGCCTAGAAATAGTCAGAGATGCTGCCTTTAGGCAGCCAGTCACAATGGAGTCTCTTGTGACAGCCAGATAAGCAGCTAGCAGTACAAACGTCTCTATCCGGAATCCAGGCATTTTAATTTTAAAATTGATTTTTTTTTTTTGCAAACGCTACTCATTTGTTAACACTTTTGGTTCCTTGAGCCTCATCTCATCTCTATCTTAGGAAAGAAAATAACTTCTAGTTTCGCCTAATTTTCTTGAGTATTTAAGCTTTTGCATAAAATGCGTAGCAAACTATGTAAGGCTTGCATAGCTAATGCCTTAAAAAGTGGCCTGGAATGTTTCTCCTTCATTTAAACCACCCAACAGACAGACAAAAGCTCTCAGGTGACTGGGTATAAACCAAGTACTGTAAGTCTTTAGAAACCTCTATATGCTGAGTTCTGATCCTGAAAACTAAAGAGAAATTCTTTTAAAGACGGTCATAGAAATAGAGCAAGGCCTAACCAATCTGGTATTAATGCTTGACCAACAACTCATCCCCTTCCAAACAAGCTACTTCGGGAGAAGCGCAGCCTGGTCTCAATACACTTACTTTCAAAGACACAAAGAAGAAAGCAAACACTTTAATAAAACTAGAAAGTTCCAGGTGAACATTTTAGTTACAACTTTAAGTAGAATTCAGTGCTTTGCTGTGACTGTCTCTGTTACTCCAGAGGCATTTCTGGGACACACTCAGAATATCCCAGAAGGTTCTCAGGTTCCAGGCCTGGGCATGCTCCTTCTTAATGAGTGTATCCTCAGGCAGTGGCTTCTTGCTTGATCTCACCACACTTTATTTCTTAACTTATAAAAATTAAGACAACAAGTCTCATGTCTCCAAGCATGTAATGTTTGAAAGTTTCCCCCACGCTCTGAAAGTTGGTATAGAACAGCTCATATCTGAAATGCTCCATCTTTACAACAGTGTAGTTTCCGTACGCCACACTTCTCTGTGGCACCGTAGAGGATTTCGACACATTGGGCATTAAATAATTTGGTCACTTGAGCAGGCCTGCAACCACTAATACGGCTGTGAACATTTGCTTCCATAGGGAAAAAAAATGAGTTGATTTGTAATCAAATTCAGCCCACCCCACCAACTTTGTGAACTACAGCCCACTTTCTTCCTAGAATGTGAAAGGAGTCATCAATACATGGACTTTTAAAAAGCAAGGTCAGTCTTTGCATCTTTAGCACCATAAACAGTGAAAGGGTAGTACGTT